AAACTTGCAGGCTCCTGCAGCAACAAGGTCTGCTGCCAGCACAGCTCAGCCCAAGCAGCAACTCCGCCGAGGCCGCATCCCGGCGTTCCCGCGTCTTACAAAACCAGCTGCTGCAGCAAACAGCAGCAGCAACAGCAGCAGCAGCAGCAGCAGCAGCAGCAGCAGCAGCAGGAATAACTCCAGCAGCAGTTGTCTTGATACGGGCCCCATACGGGGCCCCAGGAGAAGCCGTGCTGCTGCTGCAGCACGCGATGCCCCCTACAGACGCCCCTGGGCAAGCAGACAGCGGCCTCTCTCGCTTGCTGCTGCTGCTTCTGCTGCTGCTGCTCCTGCTGCTGCTGCTGCTGCTGCTCCAGGGACGCCCCCAGCAGCTGCTGCTCGGCCGCCTGAAGGAGCGGCCGGGGGAGCCCGACAGAGAACAGCTGCAGCAAGCAGCAGCGCAGCAGCAGCAGCTGCTGCAGCAACAGCTGCAGCAGCAAACCACAGAGAGACGTGGGCGCAACCGAGAACAGCTGTTAACTCAAAAGACAGCAGCAGCAGCAGCAGCAGCAGCAGCAGCAGCATGCGAGCTGCAAGCCGCGGCAGCAGCACGAGGAGCTCTAACTGCGCTCCATCACAAAGACAGCGGCAGCAGCTGCAGCAGCAGCAGCTGCAGCAGCAGCTGCAGCACCCCCAAAGGACTGGGTCTAGCAGCAGGTTGCTGAGGAAAGGCAGCAGCAGCAACTTTAGCTGCAGCAGCAACTGCAGCAGCAGCAGCAGCCTCGCAAGCAGCAGCCAGGGATCTGCTGCTGGCAGCCGCAGCGCCCTGGGGCCAGCCGTGTCTGTCCTTGAACGGAAGCGGAAGCAGAGCAGCAACAGCAGCAGCAGCAGCAGCAGCAACAGCAGCAGCAGCAGCAGCAGCAGCGCTGCACCTCTCTCGAAGGCCCGAATATGTCGCCCTCAATCTTCTGCTTCTCTCCCCCAAAACAGCAGCAGCAGCAGCAGCAGCTCCGATATATCCCGAGCCAACAGCAACAGCAAAAGCAGCAGCAGCAGCAGCAGCAGCAGCAGCAGCAGCAGCGTGAGTAGGATACCAGCAGCACAGCAGCAAAGCCAGCAGACCCCAACGCCTAGAGGGACGGTGGGGGCCTCGCGCCTGCAGCCGAAGCCAAGGGCCCCCCCTCCACCTCAGTCTAGAAAGCTGCCCGCAACCAGCAGCAGCAGCAGCAGCAGCAGCAGCAGCAGCAGCAGCGCGATGAACTGCAGCAGCAGCAGCAGCAGCAGCAGCAGCAGCAGGAACAGGAGCACGTGTGCGGCTGTAAGAAACCAAAGCCGCCCATCTGCTGCTGCCAAGACACAGCGCGGCACTGCTGCGCGTCGGGTGCATTCGTTGCCTAGCAGCAGCAGCAGCAGCAGCAGCAGCAGCAGCAGCAACAGCAACAGCAGCAGCAGCAGCAGCAGCAGCATGGGTTCCAAGCCATCTTTAATAACGAAGAAGCTTGACAGAACAGGCAAACCCAGCAGCAGATTAGCAGCAGCAGCAGCAACAGCAGCAGCAGCAGCAGCAGCAGCAGCAGCAGGTCAGAATGCCAGCAGCAACATAGGGGGCCCCCTCCCCCCCGTCCGCAGCACTGCAGCAGCAGGGAGGGCCCCCTGAGGGCCCCTGCAGCAGCAAACCTATGCTGCACCAACAGTACCCAGGGGCCCCCCAACCCACTAGACGCTTCGCAGGGGGCCCCCAGGGGGCCCCCCTGGTCCCCCCCGGCCCTCAGGGCATTCGGGGGCCCCCAGGGGCCCCCAGAGGGGGCCCCCAGGGGCCCCCAGAGGGGGCCCCCCAGGGCCCCAATCAAACAAATACACAAAATTTTAGTGTAACATAAACTTAAAACTTTTTGTCTGCATATTTTTTATTCTGTCATATTTTTTATTCTGTCTAAGGCCGTTGGTGTTCATATATATATATATATA